GGAAACAGAATTGAAATTGCACAATTTCCTTTATGAAAAAAATTGACTGAAATGCCTCCATTTCATTAAGTAGCAAGTAGCAACACTATGACAGTCATATTCCAAGTAGAGTTGCCTTCCTTCCACTTTCTTCTCAGGTCAGAATAACATAAATAATACAGCTAAGAAAAATGAGTATCACAGACTTACATCTCCATCACAACAAGTTTAAAATCAATCAAAGCAAACATTTAACAGTAATTATAAATTCAAAGGTGCCCCCACTCAAGATATGGAGTAAAAATAATTGATCAAATAATAAGGAAAATTAATTTACATCATTTTTGCACGTGGAAAGTCTGCATACCTTTGGCAGCACTTGCGTCATATCCATAGGATGTTTTGTTAAAAACATGGTGATCCCCCGATGAAGGGATTACCCTTGAATCCGAAACAGGGTGGACCCCTTTAATTCGTTCAGCCAGCGCCTTGTGCTGGTCATAGGAGCCCAGTGTCCTGGGCGAGCTGGTCCTTGGCATTGGTTCAGAAGCAGGTTTCTCTTCTGTTTGATGACCAGCTGGAAGGTGGGTCTCTGGGTCACTCACATTCCTAACAAGGGGCCCAGTGCTTTGCATCAAAGCTGCCCCCTGGTTTGCAGCAGAGGTCTCTGGTAAAGAATGCAATTCGTTGCCATACCGGCCATCTAACCTGTACCTCCCAGGAGACATCATCATACAGGGCACAGTCCCCACAAATTCCATTGCTGTCTTTGTGACAGCTGTGAGACCAGGGGTGGGCTGAGAGGTAGCATCATTGTGACCAAAGTTGTCGCAGTGCGATGCCATGCTTCCACTTTTAGGAAAGGCATCTGCTTCAGACAAAGAGTCTTCAGTCAAGGCCAAGAATTCTGAAGGGGTCTGAGCTGTGGTCAGGTCTGTGGAAAGCATAGGGGACTGTAAGGAACTTCCTGCGTGCTCTGTTTTATCTGCGGAGCAAGAAGGGGAAGGTCTTCCTAAGGCCGGTTCTCGCTCCTGGTACTGTGAGATCGCCAGGGAGAACTCAGGCTGCTGTACCAATGACTTGGATTGGCTCTGTGGAACCGACTTAGAAAATTTGGAATGAGATGAAAAGGATTTGGGGAGAAGCTTCTTTGTTGACTGTTTAAGAGAACGGCGAGTTTGTTCTTCTGTGAATCCAGAATCGTCCCCTTCACTTCTGCCAGAACTTAGACAATTTATAAAGACGTTCTTATTGGTGGAAGGTTCCTTTTCCCTTTCAAAATCTTCCGTCAGAGATCTTGTTATCTTCTTGCTTCGCGAACTACTAAAACCCACAGAATGTCTTCCCCTGGTTTTGACTTGTTCCTCCAAACTTAGTTTCTGCATATTGCTGTGACTGGGTTGAGCACCATTGGAAATACTAAGGTTCTGGTCGGTGGGTTCTGGCTTAGGTTCACTCCCCTTCTTGTGGTGGAAGCTGATGGAGGGAGCTCGGAATATGCTCCTGCGTTTCCCCATGCTCCCTGAGCTGGAGTTAGTGCTGGAAGGAGAGGAGCTGTGGACACCAGCTGTGTTACTCGAAGAGGGTGAAGACGGGAGAGAGTCATGTCTTCTGCTAATACTTTTCCTGAATATTGGCAACCGGGAGACCAGGGTACATCGTCTTGATCCTGAGTCCCCCATTGGAACCCTGAGGCTTACACTGCGATAGCCAATTTAGCAGCCTGGGAAAAGATAAAACAAAGAAAGCAAGTCAATAAAATTCAATCTTGACCAGGACCCAGTAAACAGAGTAGTTTTTCAAGACAAAGAATGAAAATTTGTTTTTACTACAATAATAGTATGCCAAAATCGGGATTTAAGAAAATAGAAAAAAAAATCATCCACAAACTTGTATCAAAATCTTACTATAAATCAAAAATTTCAAGATTACCACAAATACTTAGTCTATTAAAAAGAATTCTGGGTTGGAAAACACAAAATAATAATAATTATTTAAGACCTGGCCAGTCTTCTGTTAAATTCTGGTACATTATTAAATATTAACTTTTTATATTTAGACACAGCCATGCTTCATAGCATGTGGCTTAATGGGTAATCTAGGCACCTTAACAGAAACACAGAGCAGACAGTGGCAAGCCAGGCACTAATATCTGCACTCATGAAAAACCAATTGGAGCATATTCTTATGGATGGTTTCTGACACAGGAAGCTTAGGGATAATCAGACTACTGACTAAAGATATATAGAGAGTTACACATGAAGGAAGTAGACCATGGGCTAACGGAAAGACCTGATGCAAAGCTCAGAGTGTTGGTAATCTCGAGAGTACCATCGAGTCATTCCGAAACCCAGGACCCTTATAGCCATATTTATGTTGGTGCACCTGGGTGCCAGTGGTGAAGAAGATAGAGGAGGGAATGGAAAGGTGGCTGCTACAATCCTTTTTGATGCACAAAGGATTTCTTGGAGATGATCTCTTTTCGTTAAAACTCTGCAAGTAGGTATTTTATGGCACGAAGAAAGGTAACAATAATGTCACCAGCTAATGAAGCAAACGAGAATAAGAACCAAGCTTTCTCTACCCCAAGGCTAGCTTATGGTCCTTACTGCATACAAAATATTCGGCATTCTCTGGAGTGAAAGCAAAGAGCTGCTGGCATGCACCCACTGCCGAGATTGTTAGTCTTATTTCAACTTATACATTCAGACTTCCTGTTCTGGAATTGCTGTTTAACACAGACTTTCATGAGATAGCACAGTTGCCTCCTGTTTTGGTTTGATAAAAGATCTCACTAATTATTATATTTCTGATTGCCTTGTCTTGTAGTGCTGGGCTGGAACCCTGATGAGCTTAATATATACACGTAAGCATTCTTTCTCCATCTGCTCTTGATGGCAGCATGGCTAAGAGTAGCTCCTTCAAGTTCCTACTTTGACTTCCCAATAATGATGAATTTGTGCACTAAAAGTAAACCCGTTTTCCACTAAGTTGTTTCTTTCTTCATTCCTGCCTTCCTTCCTCCCTTTCTTTCTGTCCAAAATGAAGGTAAAATGTTTAGAAAGTGTGGGGATTTGTTTCTTTTTCATGTGTCCTTTATTTCTTGTTTAGTCCTCCCCATCCTGTTCTCTACTACCCCACATGAATGCTTAAACCTTTGTCCCTAATTTTCCCCTTTCTACCTTCCATGTGTTCTAATATCAACTTCCCCTTTAAAGCCTCTTCTCCTCCCATATCATGGGCACTTTCTAGCTTCTTGACTTCTATGGACACTCCATACTAAACATGTGAATCTAAATCTTCAATACTAGGATACACATACACAGGGAACATGCAGCATTTGTCTTTCTGGGCCTGGGTTATCACACTCAGTATTGTTCAATCCCATCCATTTTCCTGCAAATCTCATAATGACATTTTTCTTTACAGCTGAATGAAATTCCATTTTGCATTTATACAACATTTTCATGGTACAGAGGATGCTGCCACTGCTATTGGTTGCCCACCACAACTAGATGGTATGACCCTATTGCTGAAGACAACACAGACTTTGGTTTCCGGAAGTAAAGAAATCAAACAGGAACTGACCTGGAAATTTCCTCCCTGCTGGCTGCCAAAAGGTACAGTGCATGCCACTTGGGGGCGGGGCAAACAATGTTCTTACCCTGTTGTAGACCCAAGATGCTACAACACTGGCCAGTCTGGCAAGATGTGATTACTGGTTCAATAGCAACATGCATGTTATAGAAATAACTAGCCACTTTCTGATTGGATTTGAGGCCTGCTACATAGGGGGTAACTCAAGGCTGGTTCAGTCAATCTGGTCAGAAACACATAGCTAAGAGATCATGGGCCCTAAAATAGAACTGCTCAGTTTTGCTAAATAAGTAACATAATTGCTGCCAAAATATTATCATTATTGACACATACTTCTCAAGGTATTTCTTGGAATTTTCTCTAGCTTTTCATGTTTGAATCAGCACTCAACTGAAAGAGTAACTCAGTTCTAGGTCTCTTACCAAGAATCCAAAAGATTTATGTGTGGAAACTCTTCCAGAAAATCTTTTATAGTAAGTAACCTTCCCTTAAGTACTTAATGCAAATAGTGAGACCTCCCCCAGGCAAGTGTGGAGCACACAGGCTACTCATGTTGGTTCATGAAGGTGAACTCTGTCCTTGAGTATATATACAATCTATTAAAAATAAAAGATTCTTTAAACTTCACTCTATTGTACATTAAGTTTTGTTTCCAGCTGGAAGGAATAAATGGCTGAAAGATAAAGTACCTGCAGCTCAGATTTCCCACAGACCTTGAAAAGCTCTGTGGGGCCTGGCAGCTGTCTAAACCTTCAGATCCACCCTTTTACTGTACATCACTCTTTTCTGCTCCTACCTTCATCCTTTGAACAGCTGAAACTGCCTGCTTGCTTTGTTACTCCATTAATTATGGAGTACATAAATAGAATGGATTTGCAAGTAGGTAGTTTTGCTTTGAGCACATCAATATTTCAAACACAAATAAACACATCAAGCTGTACACCTTTCAGAAGCTCATCAGAAGTCTTTCAAATTATAAAACATCATGTGTCTAAAACTCGTGTTTATCTAAGACATATGCTTGATAATGACAGAATGCTGGACAAATTGACTAAAACTCGGTCTCATCACTGTTGGAAGGCACTGCTGGCTGGTTGAGATTGCAGTCACTTATGGCCTGGTAGCTTTTCCCAAAAGCTTGGCCACATGGAAACTCCCTCCCTCTGCAGGAAAATTTCCTGCTCTCTACCTGCCCTTATCTGGAGAATGCCCCTGGGCCCTGAGGACTACTGTTCTTATCTGAAAGCTTGAAAGCTGTCTCTAAGCCTGATGACTGGTTTATCTTGAGCTTGACCCTTGGCACAGATTCCTGCTAGAAGGCTCCCTTGATGCACTTATGCTAACTAAGACTTGTGTTAGGAGCCTTCTGATAGGACTGTGACACTTAATGCAAATTAGGGTTTGTCCCCATGCTCCCTAATCCTGTATATCCCTTCTGCTCTGGAATAAAGTCAAGCTGATTCACTGAAGTCTGTCTCCTGGAGAGCTGGATCCGTTGTACCCACAGCCTTCCTAGCCCTGCTCCCCACTTCTGCTCCCTGCACCTTCATGGAAAAATGCAGCCAATGCTCATGAGGAAGATGCAGAGATACACCCTCATAATACACACGAGATATGTTCTCATTCCTCTTCACTATGGTATAATCATGAATGTAACCTTTTAATTATTTAATAATACTTGAATATTTAGTTTTTATACACTTCAAAATAAGAGAAAACTCTTTTCTCCATTCGTATGTGGGAGGCAGCGTAAGTGCCAATGTGCACATGCCATAACATACATGGAGTTCAGAAAACAACTCTGGGGAGTTGATTCCCTCCTTCTAACGTGGGTTCCAGCAACTGAACTCAGGTTGTCAGGCTTTTCTGGGAAGTGCTTTTACATTGAGCCATCTCACAGGCCCTCTTTTCTTAATTTTTATTTAATCTTTCTTAACCAAAAGGTTAGTGAAAACGTATAGTTTGAAGTCTATTGTCCAGGGGCTCCAACTATCATAAGAATTAGATAAAACTTTATCTAATTTAGATAAAACAAACTTATTACATTACATTACATTATTACATTAAAAATATGCCTTTTCACAGATGCAATTGACAATTAAAAAAAAAAAAAAAACTGTGCCCTCCAAGGCAAGCTCTAAGATTCATCAGTAGCAGGAACCAAAACAATGGGAATGATCATTTCACAGAGGCTGGAGAGATGACTGCATAGTTAACACAGTTTACTGCTCTTGGAGAGAAGCCAGGTTCAGTCTCCAGCACCTGTATCAGTACACAGTTACCTGAAGCTCCAGTTCTAAGGGATCTGACATACTTGTCTGCCCTTCAGTACTTTCACACATGTGGTACACACACAGAGAAACCTATACAAATTTATACAAACTAATTAATACAAATAAATAAATTTTTAACAATAAATTACGTCATAGGAACTTCCCTAGTGATGAAGTGACGCCACACAGAAACTCATAGACTTCCTGCTACAGGGAACATATTCAGCCACCAGTGTTGTGATGCTGGGCTACATTCAAACAAATGATACTTGGGGCATTATATGAAACATTATATGAAACTGAGCGATACATGGGGCCTGTAATACACAAGTCGATATGAAAACCGTCACTCATCAAAATCTGTACTTACAAATGCACTTAATGTACAGACTGAATCAATACCTTCACATTTATTACCAACTTCCCCTAAGTTGCATTTTTAATTTAGATTTAAAAACTACTGTCTTTCTCTTAGAAGAACGGTGCTTAGAATGATCTAGCATTTGACACATCATCACAAGCTTTCCTGTAATAAAGCCTCTAATAAAAACTAGGCTGTCGAGAACCCCTGGCAACAGGATTGTTTGCCTTTATACCAAGAAAACTGGGAAAGCACCTAAATCCTCAGGTGGTATATGCCCAGGCAAACTTCGGGATGTTGGTGCTGTGACCGAAATTTCTTATGATATTGACTAGGACAAGAAGCAGAGCCTGTGGTGGCTCCATGTGTGCCAAGTGTATCTGTGACAGGATCAAGCGGGCTTTCCTTATTGAGGAGCAGAACACTGTTGTGAAAGCATTGAAGGCACGAG